CCCCCCCCCCCCCCTCCCCCATAGGTTGTAGACTTCTTCCGAACGGTGAACAAAGACGCGCATCAGCTTAAGCGCCTGGGAAGCGACGGAGTCCAGGGGTGTGGAGGCCTCCTCCTGGGAGCGCTGGCATCGTGCCTCCGCCGCGCGGGGCTGGGAAACCCGGGGGCCGCGGTCGAGCACATGGCTTTCGGCACCGAAGACCCCCTCGCGATTTCGACCAAGAAGGCGGCCGGCGGCGGCGTAGGCAGGCCGAGGTCTGGCAGCGGGGCGGCGGTGGGGAGGGTGAGAGGGGGGTCCGGCGACGGGGCCTCCTTCGTGTCCGGGGAGACTGTGTTGGAGGAGGAGCTGGAGGAGGACGACGACGAGGCCGACCAGGAGGAGCTGTCCGCTCAGGTGCGTGTGTCTGTGTGTTGATTATCAGCATCGACCGCGCTAGCCAATGAATGGACGTCAGTCTTTTCGTGCGGTTGAAAACACGAAAATTGTAAATAAGGCCATGATCTGAGTGGGTGTGTTTGTCCGCCCTGTTGCATGGGATATGTTGTGATCCCTACGTCTTGCGTGTGTTGACCAGCCAGAGGTTCACGATGTTTGGTTCGCGGATGTGGCAGCTAAATAGCGATTCCTGTTGCTGCTTGTTGTGGGGTGGGGAGTGGGATGCTTGCTAGGCTGTGCCCAGAGCAGGGCAGACGTCATGCATGTGTGAGAAATGTCATTGCGGGCTATGTAAGGAGTGAGTGCGCAATCCATGCGGTCCCTGCTGCCCCATCCAGCAAGCTGACGTTCGGCTAGGCTTCGGCCAATGACCAGCAAGGTTGTCCGGTGTTGAGCACCGTGCACCCATCTTTTCTTCAGTCTTTGCATTAGCCGACGTCTAGAGGAGGAGAAACTCTCCGGAAGAGATTTTCTGCGCGTGACACAGCAGGAGTCAAGTGCTTTTTCTCACACACCCGTTATTTCTTCTGTAAAATTAGCGCTTGGTATTGTCCTCGCGTTGAAGCCGTTCTCGTCTACGGATCACTCAATTGTCACACGAAGTCCATGCTCCATTTTCACCTTAAACAAACACCGTGCCCTTTCCCCAATAACCACGCTATCAACAACAACAAATCTACAACGTATTCTTTGAACAACCACGCAGAAAAAGAAGGTGCACGACCTCGGAGAGCTGCCCGCCCTCGACTGGTCCAACACCTCCGCCAAGTTGCTGGTGACCATCGTTGTGGTGGGAGTGATCCTTCTCACAACCTATTCCGGGTGGCTTGACAAACGCGTGGAGCTGGGTCACTTCTCACTGAGGGAGTGGCTGAACGGACTGTGCGTGTCCGTCGGCGCGTATTTCGTGATTGAGCTCCTGGCGAAGGTACGTTCGTTCGTTCGTCGCCCGTGGTCGGAGGTGGATGGTTGTCACCTGTGCTTTGACGGTTGTGTTGCCTTTGTATTTGTGTGTGTGTATTTTCGTGTGCCCTGATGGTTCCTAATACTATGCTGCTGATGCTTCTGGTGTCCTAGCCGAGGGTTGTGTGGCTCTTGTAGACGTTTGCCCGTGTTGCCACCGCTCACGCCATCGTCAAGCGTAGGTCAGCGATCGCTTGCTTGCTCTTGGTCGTGCCGCTGCAGTGTGCGTGCTGCTTCTTTCTTGGAGTATCTCTCTTCTATTTGTCTATGCACGCATTCGTGTCTGTGGGCGCGTACATTCCTTCGCACTTATCACGCCCGCTGCAAGAAATTGTCTCCGTGTTCTCGCCATCGGTTGAACATGCCACGGCACAAAACTTGCCATCGGTTGAAAATGTCACTGTATGAAAGTTTTATCACTACATCGTCAACTACTATCGTAGTTGTGCATGCAGCTCTTCGTTGGTCGGGCGTGTATACCACCTTGAAAGGGATGTCGAAATTTTGCGCTGTTGCGATGGCTTTTTTTTTCCCTGCCGCTCCTTCTTTCGCGCACCAGGCGGTGGCTGGCTTCTTCAAGTGGACCCGGCTCCTACATACCAACAACAAAGTCTGGATCTTCATCAAGCTGCACAAGGAGGTGTCGTTGCTAATCTGGAGCACCATCATGTACGAGGCGTGTTTGTTTGCCCATCCCACCACTTACGGTGTCCTCGGCCTGGTATCAACGTGCTGCTGTAGTTGCGCTCTGTCCCATCACCCTAACGTTCTTGACGGGAAACCGCAGCTGGCGGCAGTCTGTGGCGTCGTCACTAGCAACAAAAACAAAACGCATCGCACGTCTGGCCACTCGAGCATATGTAGTGCTCGCGCCGTTGTGTGTGTTTGCCGCCGCCTGTTGCACCTGCCACGAGCAGAATCCTCGTGTATACTTTAGTTGTTTCTTTTGTTGGCTTTGTGCGAGGCCGTCGTCAGTGCTTGATTCCCTCGTTGTTGTGATTGTACATTGCGTTACGATTCCGCGTGTACAATGTCCTCCCGCACATTGTGAACACACCTTCGTCCTATGTAGGAAAATGGAGTGGGCTTGCGTCGACGTTTTCGCAGTCTCGGTGCTCAGCCTCTCAGCCTGGTTATGCGTTTTGTCCTCTTCGAAATTTGACCATATCAAGTGTGTTTCGGATATGCTGCAAAAATCGCCGGTATCTTGTTAGCGCCGTTGCCATCACGAAGCAAGGCGCAGCTCCCCTTACCTGTCTGTGAACCCAAGGCAGTGTGTTTGGCGAAAGCGTTTTTTTTTTTCTTTTCGGAACAATATTTCTTCCCCACGCACGTGGTGCTGTACCTGGAGCAAAAATACTCGGCGCGCTATGCATAGTTCAACTCGTTCACAAGCAACGTTGCGCAACCTTTGACTGCCCTGCTGTTGTACGCCGTCATATGACGCGATGAAACAGATACCTCCTGTGGACTTGGTTTGAGGGTACCGACTTGGCGCCCGAGGACAACGGAGTGATCGCCAAGATACTCGGCGTCTTCTTGGCCTACACGTAAGGGATTTCGTGGCGTGTAGTTTTACTTGTGCGCACAGGCTATGGTTTTCGGCGCCTTCGATGTAGAACTCGTCTTGTTGTTGTCGTTATTGTTTTGATGTTGATGATGACAGGATCCCTTCGTTTCTCGCGCCATTGTCTGTATCCCTTCGTTGCTTTTGGTTGTTGTTGTTGTTGTTGGTCGTGGTGGTGGTAAAATAGTGATGTTTGTTGCCGCGGTCGTTCTTGCTCGCGCGATGATTCGAGGGCAGTTGGTCGCGTCGCTTTTTACCGTGTTTGTTTCGTCTCCCTTCGTCGCACGTGTCTCAGTTGTTGCCGCTCTTCATAGTTGATCCCGTTTCTTGTGTGTATGCCTCCTCTGCGTTTCGTCTCCCTCCCTTCTCCTCCTCCTTGGCGCAGCGCTACCAACGTGGTGAGCGAGGTGTGCAAGGTGGAGATGGCCCACCGGTACATGTGGAAACCGTACCTCGAGCGGGCCCGCGCCAGCATCTGGTCCCAGTACGTCATCTTCATGATGACCGATCACGCGATGGTGAGCGACACAGCAGTAATAGTGCGGCCGACAGGGGCACAAAATTGTCACACGAAAGCGGCGAGGCGCAAGTAGAACATTTTGCCGTTGTGCGTGGCCGTTGCTTCAGTTCTCGCGGTTGTGTGTATTGTGGGGTGCCGCACGAGAGTGGCGAATTTTGGTCCGGAGGGGCTCCAGACGCTGTGCAGGATCGGCAGGTGGGAGGGAGGCGGTAGACGGTCACCGGTTGACTTCACCTTCGACGTAGGTCCATCATGAACGCCGTTCGGGAAAAGGGAGATTCAGTTACATTCAGGGATCGAGGGGGGTGGAGAGAGAGAGAGAAAGAGGCACATACGAGGAAAGATATAGAATGATGGAGTTATATCCCCGAGAAACTACACCGCCCACTATCATCGACGACGGTGTATGAGCACCGCTGACCCATACATGCGGACGGGTACCACGGTGCTTGGTGCAGCGTGTGAGGCGATATGGCCTCCAATCTGAACCCTTCCCTCGCCCACGCGCCGTGAGCTCCCCAATGTATCTTCGACAAAAGTAGATTGATGGCAATGGTAATGTATTGTACGCCCGTTACTGATGACGCCATTTAACGGTGACACGTGCTGTTTTTCCGGGCGCCGGCATCTGACCCGCGTTTCAGGGGCTGCAAACGAAGGACACGGAAGGGCAGGCGCTTGCCCTAGGCTTCACCAAGACCAAGAACGGCGACGAGCACGTGAGACAGTCCATTCGTCGCGCAGGGGGGAGGGGCGGGCGGAGGGGAGAGATAATCATCATTAGGCGCGGCGGAAGCGGCGACGGGTGGCGTGATTCGCGGAGGTCGTGTTTTCCCGGTTTTACTTCGGCCTCTTCATTTGTGTGATGCCTATGTAATATTTAGCGCTGCTGCGTGCGTTTTTAAGTGAAAATGTTCACATGAGTTGTTTTTGTTCGCGGCGACGTTCGCGCAACGCCACGCTTGTCCTGTTTTTTTTTTGCTCACTCCACGTCGCAATTGTATTTTTCTCGTTTGTACTGTTGCACCGTAATGCAGCTGTCGCTTTACACGGTGGGGAAGGCGATCGGGTTCGTCCACGCCAACGCGCTCAGGCACCCGCTGGGCCCGGGGAGACCGGGCACTGACCGCGACGGCATGATCGACAGCAAGACGTGAGTAACGTGCTTGCTGTGGTTGTCACCGAGAAAAGGGACGGCGTCAAACGCCCAATCTCAAGCGCGCATTCAAGTGTGTTGTCGCGTATCTTTGATGCCGAAAACCCCAACGTGGCTCTGGGTCAACGTGATTTGGAAGCGCCTTGCGTGCTTGTTTTTCCCTCGATGCACCGGTGTGTTCTCGTCTGCGACAGGCAGGGTTGTGTTGTGAGCTCCCTCCGCTTTCTTTTTTTTCCCGACCCTTTTCGGGAGAATTGTCCGGGAGATGGTGTCTTCAATTTGCGTTTGACATGACATCAGTCCTCTCTTCCTTCGTCTGATGGATTTTGTTATTCACCGTACGCACGGCTTTCCTCCTTTCGTGTGTTCGTGTGTTTTGTTTTGTTTCTGCGGGTGGGTACGAATGGCGCACAGCGGTGCTCGTCTGTTCGGCGAGCTACTGTTCGATGCCCTGATGGTCCAATTCAACGGGGAGGACCTCAACAAGCTGCTGCCCGTCCCGCCCGCTCTTAGCAGCTCCCGGAGCAATGACAACCCCAGGTAACAAGACGCCGAGGAGACGTGTATTCTTGACAACAACGGCAGTCGAAGGGGATGTGTTGAAAGTACTTGTACTGAGTGGGTTTTGGGGGAAATTTGCTGGGCATCTCCTGGGCTGATTTTGAGTCAGTTTGAACCTGTACACTGATTTCGCGAGGAGCTGTTTTCACCAAGCGTTCAGCTTGCTTCAGGTGTAGCACGCAGGCATACTCCTTTTTGCGTTACGCGCCCTGTTGGGGGATCAGAGTTCCCTCTCCTATCATTTCCCCCTACAGTGGCGGCTACGGTTTCAGAGAGAGTTGTGACAAGCCTGTACTTGTCTCTTGAATCTGGTTGTCTCTCAAACCGTACTTCTCATGGTCGTGACAAGCCAGTTTGACTCTCTTAAATCGGTACCTTCTCTTAAATAGTCTCTCTTAAACCGTAGCCGCCACTCTGTCTGCTTACCCGTTGGCGTTCTTCCACCTCCACTCCCCGTCCATGGTCAACACGTGCAGCAAGTCTCGTCCATGTGTGATGTTGGTTTCAGTCACGTCCCTTGCTACCTTTTCTCCGTTTCGTCTATAATGAAGTCTTGCCTAAGTTACCCCCTCCCCGTCCCGTCCCGTCCCGTACCCCCTCCCGTGTCTTCAGCCCAACAAAGTCAAAGGCTGTCGACACGGACCTGCCCAGACCCTTCCGCTTCAACAAAACCTTCGGGCCCGCCGCCGCAGCTGTGCAGCCTGCCGCTGATGACGTAGACGACGACAACAACAACGTCAACAACCACGAACACAAGCACCACAGCAACAGCAACAGCAACGGCAACGGCAACGGCAACGGCAACGGCAACACGGTAAGCGAACAATCACATGCCTATTGTGCGTCGTCGTGTTGTCGTTGAGCGCGGGTGCGCCGCCGCCGCCGCCGCCGGAACGTGGTATGCTGAGTTGGAATTGCTTGCAGGGTTAGTTGGTGGTCATCACATTTCCAGGGACTCTGTACCCCGCCCCCCCCCGGCTTTATCTCCCCGTCGCCCCCCTGTCTGTTGGCGTGCGTTTTCGTAATATTGCCCGCCCGCCCTGATGAAATCTCGAAAACAACCACCATATGGGCGACTACCAACAGAATACGATCGGGCCCAGGAAGCTCAGCTGCGTCCCGGAGGAAGACGAAGAGCAGAAGGAGGAGGGGACTGGAAGCGACGACACCAATGCGGACGGGAGCACGTCGACGGAGACGAATGTCTCGCACTGGTCGCCGGGTGCGGAAGAACCCGCTTCCCAGTCTGCCGTGGCTGGCGACGGCACGGGGGCAGAGGCAGGGGTTGGGGCGAAGGCGAGGCACGTGAGGTCGGGTGGCAAGCGCGATTCGGTCGGCGGGGGCGGGGGCTCCGCCGGAGGGGCGGCGGCGGCAGGGCGCAAGGGGATCACGCTGGTGCACCTGCGGCAGATGACGAGCAAGCCGATCGCGCTCAAGGTGACGAATTGTCACCGTTGGGGCCGTCTCTGTAATGCGCCTCCCGTCCCTATTGTTGGCAGCGAGGGGGGGGGGGCGTCGTCTGTGTTGGTGTCCAGCGTGTTGCTTTTATTGTTTCGCTTCGCTGTCTGTCGGAAGCTTCGGTACCGTTGAACAGTCCAAAACGAGGTGAGCAACCGACCCGGGATAAGTATTCTCCGCGCTTGCTGGCGGCACGGCTGCACCTCAGCGATCAGCTTCAACAGCAGCAGTGGCGGTCGCGATATAGAAGTGGTCTACTCTGTGAAGGGAGACGGTTTGTAACTTTGTAGGCGGACACGTGGTGTCATCAGAGTCGAGCGGCACCTCCGTGCCCTCTACCGCGCCGGTTCATCATGAGCAATCGTATCGTCACAGTCAGGCAACACCACCTCCCTTCCGTATGCGCCGGTGTCTTGTCTGTGGGGAGAAGATGATGGAGCTTTTCGAGGTGCCGCCGGAGGGCGTCGTGACGAGGAAAGAGTTCGTGGATCGCACCGTCGACATCTTCGTGCAGCGCCGGAGCCTGCAGCTCACTCTCGGCGACTACGAGGTATGTGTGCTTGAGGAAACGGGGGTGTGGGACGCACAATCTAGCACACACCAGCTAAGCTAAGAGAAAGGGCGTGGGGTATCTAGCACACGATCTAGCACACGCCACAAGGGCGTGGAATCTAGCTCACAAGCTAGCAAGAACGAGCTGAGAGAATGGCCATGGGATCTAGCGCACACTCTAGCGCACACCACAAGGGCGTGGGATCTATAGCCGTTGTGAGGTTGCTGCTGTCTGCCGCTGTTGTGGCACTCGCTGATTGTTTGCTGTCGCTCCATACTACCATTTACAGTGGGCTTCGTCAGGTGCGCGGTTTCTGAGGGGTTGGTCCTTGGGTGTGGATGGATGGTGGGCATCCCGAATTCCTTGGCAAACGACACAACGGGGAGACGGTTGTTTTATTTTCGTTTGTTTTCGTTTGTTTCTTCTTCGCCTTGCGATACCTCATGTACGTCCTTGGCGTGACGATGACCAAGCGGGGAGTGTTTGTTTATTGTCGCCTTACAACATCTCTATGTGTGTTTCCTAGGCATAAAAGACGACGAACGGGGATGATGCATCTGTGTATGTACCCTTTGTCAGCAGGACGACGAACAAGCATGTCACTCTTGTTCGCGTTGTGTTTGCACTCCCGTCTTCACCACACCCTCCCTGCCCTTAACCACGATGTTGTTCTTAACCATGTACCCTGCCCGCCCGCCTTTTGGCACCGCTGTACGCACACCCTACATGAATGCCTAATACACAGGCGATCCTAAAGAAGGTGGGCTACCTCCTGTCGGTGGTGTCTGCCGTCGTCGTCTTCTTCGTCGCACTCCGCATCCTCGGATACGACATCGGCAGCCTTGTGCTCACTTGGGTACGTCCGTTTTTTGTTTGTTTTTTTGCTGCAAGAACAGTTTCGATCATCACGCCGAGCCAGTTTCTTTTTTGCGTACGTCGTCGATCTGGGCACCCTCCTTGTCTTGAAAATTTCAACCTCCCGCAATATGCGCGCCCTCATAGGCAACCTTTCGTGTCGCACCTTCTGGCGTCATGTTTACTGGCCAACCAGACTCGTGGTGTATATTGTTGGTCTTGTCGTTCAACCTCGTTTGCCGCAAGACATGCCGATAAATAGAATCGGGGATATCGCTGTTAATGCTTTGGGGAAATAGTTTCGGGGTTTCACGCGGTAGTTAGTCCAAGGGCATTTGTTTTGTTCTTGTCCTTGCGTCCGGTTGCCCTCTCTCCCCCCTGCTCGCCTCCCTCTTTCTTCTCTTTCTATCCGACCCCGTTCTGCCCATTCCATTCAATCGAACAGTAATATTGCCCTAGGCAACATTTTAACCTCGCCCCACCTACCGCGGTGTTTGCCATCGGGGTTGGGTTTTCGTCGCTTGGCAACGACGTTGTA